CCAGGGCTTCTGACACCTTCATACAGATAAACACGCAGGCAATGAACACAATAGATAGATAGATAGATAGATAGATAGATAGATAGATAGATAGATAGATAGATAGATAGATAGATATCTCTCACCAAATACCATCACAGTGAGGGTCAAGTCTACAGGCTAGGATTTCCTAGGAGACTATAATTCAGTCCACCACAAATATCCTAATAGCCAAACCCCAGCCATCCAAAACCACTCTGAGAATCCACCAAGAAAGTCTTCAATGGCTCAATACAACTGCCCCAATTAAAGAAAAATTAACTTTATGAAATTCAAGTACATTCTACATAAGCTAGAAGAAAACAAACTGGTGTTGAGAACTAGCAGTACAGTCGCAGCAGGTGGGGACAGCTTCTCTGATGCACATCTCTGAAGGAAAGATAAACCCTTGTGCATGGTAGGTAGTGAAAAGTCTTCTAAGGGAAAGACTGCAGGATATTTCCACACTCCATCTGATAATCTGGACAGCAGAGGGCAAGAGGCATGAAGGAATCTATAAAGCTCTCTGACGGAAGAATATTTCAGACAGAGGGGGTAGAAAAAGAAGAAGTAAAGGCTGCACGTGGGCGTCTTGATGAAACGCAAAGAGATGCAGAGCTAGGCGTAAGTGAGCAAGGGAGATGGGGTGTATGCCCAACACCAGCATTGAGGAATCCTTAGGCCTTTGGAGGGATTTGGACTTTTCATCTGGGTAAAATGATATGCCATTGAAGATGGAGGGACATGATCTAACGTAGCAAATGGTTACTGTGACTGTGTGCTTAGAACAGACAGGATAAAGGTGAGAGCAGAGAGAACACTAGAAAAGGCCAGGAAACAGAGATGGTGGCTCCCACACAGAGATAATAAATATTTGCGAAGTGGTCAGATTCTGTGGGTGTAACTGGCCCTCTGTATCCATGGATCCAAACAGCCTCAAATGAAAAATATTTTTTAAAACCCCCAAAAAACACAAATCTCCTGAGTGTGACTATCTTTTTTCCTTTTCCTTTTCTCTAAAATCACAGCCTAACAACTATTCACACAGCATTCACATTGTGCTCGATATTGCAAGTAATCCAGAGATAATACATTCTACGAGAGTCTGTCTGGATATTCTACACAGTCGCTGCGACGTTTGTATCACCAGTGGGTTTGGTATCTGCAAACAGGATCTGTACCAGAGGGAGGAGTCCTGGAAACAACGTGCTGAGGATACCGATGGACTGTATTCTGGAGGTTATTGCATTTCAAAGACAGACTCCTTTTCCTCCGGGACATAAAGAGATGTCATACACACTTTCTTAAACCTCCAGTCAGGGACAGCAACTTCCATATTCTTCTGGGATTCAGAGTTCAGCCGCCCCTTACCCAGTCCCCACTAAGGGAAGAGCCCAAGATAGGTTGAGAAAAATAAACCTTGAAGAGTTGCAAATTTGGACTTAAAAACTGCCGTGTGCCAAGTGGTAAGTCATGTATTCAAAGCCACCTCTCTTGCTTCAGTTTTGTTTAAATTCACAGAGGTTCTGAAGGTGAATTCTGCTGTGGGGTGTTCCCTGCCTAATCTCTTCATAGCCCTCATCTCCACCCCTACATAATAATCAAGCTTTTGCCAAGAGGAAGGAGAATTGAGCAACCAAACACAATGTACTCTTTGAAGGCCTCATCTCTCCCTGTGTGCCTCTAAAAGCCACACCACACACACCTGCCTGACCAAGTCTGTTTATGGGCAGTATTTTGGCAATAGAAATTTTTGTGTTTGTTCTGTTCCTATCTGGTTTGAGCCTCTTAGTCCTTTTTTTTTAATTTAAGGACCACTCTGGTCAACTGAGAAAGGGAATCCTTTACTCCAACCCTAAGCCAGGCCACAATAGTTTCAACCAAGTTACAGTCTAAAGGAAAAAATAATAAACACACCGTCATGTTGTATCTCTTCCATTTGCAAGCATGTGCTAAAATGGATCAACCAGCCAACAAGTTTAGTATTTCAGAGAGGAAAAGTTAAACACAAAGAACCATTCCAGATAATGGGGAGGAGAGAGGGCTTGCTATAGATGGCTGGCAGGCTGCCATTCTATGCAGTTTTACATTTTTAAACAGTACTTACCCAATGCTCTCCTTAATCCCATTAAATGAAAACTTTTTCTAATTTTAAAATTAAATTTCCTGTATTTCCTGATAGGCTTCCAAGTTAGCCTCCTTCCCTCCTCCTCTCTCGGTCCCTTGATATTTCTGTAAGAAGAGGGGCATTAGCATCCTGGACAGATGCCACTTGGCACAGTTGCCCTTAGCGTCCCTCGATGCCCCAGAAGTTTTCCAACGTGCTTGGATTATTTCTTTACTTCCTGTTCTTTGGTACTGCCCTGAAGATTGTGGCTAGTGGCTGTGGCTTTTCCCCCCACCACATGGGGGCACACTTCAGTCATTTACCTTTAAGAATCTAATTGTGAGCTCCAAACCTTTCTAATTACTCTGAGTCTTCTTTTCTGCGGTGCTGGGGATTGAACTCAGGGCTCCATGCAAAGGAGGCAGGTTCTCTCCCACTGAGCACGGCTCTGAGACCCTTTGAACACACACCCTCAGCACGGTCACATTTATTTACACACAATGCCCTTCGTGCACAGCTTCATAAAATAGGACCAAACAGAGAAATTCAATTGAGAGCTATCATCTTAACACATTGTATATTAATCCAGAGCAAAATACTTAACTCTGTTGTGAAAAATATCTTAGTCAGTGCAAACGTAATGAGTACCTAGCATGACTTTGAAAGAGTCTCAGTCATAGCCTAATTCAACTGAGTGCATTTTCCGGTTCTGTTTATTTGCATTCAGAATTAAAGGGTTCCCCCACTGATGTGTACTCTCCAGTCATGGAAACACAATAGTAGCTGGACTTAGAGTGTCCTGCCTGTTTGCTATGTCTTAATTATGCAAAGGTTCTGGTTAGCTGATACCTTCCACCTTTTTTTTGCCATTCATTTTTGTTGCAAAATAATTGGGAGATAGTATACCTTAAATTTTCTCAATGGACTTCCCAGCAGGTTAGGAAATTCTATCTCCATATGTTTTAAGGTGTTAAAAGTTTTTGTGAATGGGAGGCACAGTGTGGTGGTTTGAATGAGAATGGGTCCCATAGACTCACATATTTGAATCTTTGGTTTCCAGTTGGTAGACTGTTTGGGAAGGATGAGAGGTGGACTTCACGGAGGAGGTGCATCACTACAGGTGGGCTCTTGATCCATGACTCTCTGTAGCTTTCAGATCAGATGTGTGCTCTCAGCTGCTGCTCCAGTGCCATGCCTGCCTGCCTGTGGCCACCCTCTGCATCATAGTGGTCATGGACTAACCCTCTGAAACTTTAAGCAAAGCCCTAATTAAACATTTTATGTTACAAGTTGCTTTGATCATGGTGTCTGTCTCCTCACAGCAATAGAATAGTAACTAAGACATACTGATTCATATTTTTGGAGAGAGAAATACATAAAGCACCATCTCGTTTCTAAACCCATACTTTTAAAGTTGTTTATCCAGCCTGGTGTTGTTGCACATGATCATAATGCCAGCACTTGGGAAGTGAAGGCACAAAGACCCAGAGTTCAAGACTAGCTTTGGCTACATGGTGAATTCAAGGCCATAGCAAGAATTAACTTTGAAATATTGTTATTTTTTATTTCTTTTCAACACCTCACATTTATATAATGAGCTAGTGCTATGGTATGAGTGAGTCATAAATCATAGCACTAACTTATTACTAAAATCAGATTGAAATTTAACCTCCACTGTAGAGCCATTGAAAGGTGGGGCTCTAGAGGAAGATTGTGATGAAGGTTCTCTCCTTATTACAGCCTTACAAAAGACACTCAGAGGTGGCCCCTTTCTTGCCCTTCTGCCTTTGATCATGTGTACCTGCAGTTTTCTCCAGTCCCGCTCAGGCCCGCAGCCACTCAGACCCAAATAAACACATAGACGTTTATATTATTTAAACTGCTTGGCCTAGTGGCTCAGGATTTTTGTTATCTAGTTCTTAGATCTTAAATTAACCCATTTTTAATTAATCTATAAGTTGTCACGTGGCTTGTGGCTTACCAGTACTTTACATCTTACTTCTCATGGCGGCAGCATCTCCTTAAGTGCTGGGGATTTTCTGTATACTGTGAATGTGTTGCTCTGATTGATTGATGAGTAAAATGCTGATTGGCCAGTAGCCAGGCAGGAAGTATCGTATAGGTGGGATAAGAGAGAAGAGAATTCTGGGAAGTGGAAGGCTGAGTCAGGAGATGCTGCCAACCACCACCGCCATGAGAAGCAAGATGTGAAGTACTAGTAAGCCACAAGGCACGTGCACGTGGCAACTTATAGAAATGGGTTAATTTAAGATATAAGAACTAGATAGCAAGAAGCCTGAGACATTAGGCCAAACAGTTTAAATAATAAAAGCATCTGTGTGTTTATTTGGGTCTGAGTGGCTGTGGGCCCAGGCGGGACTGGAGATAACTCCAGCTACAATCATGGGAAGTTACATCATCTTAGAAAATGGCGGTACCTTCACAGATGTCAACCCTGTGGCTCTCTGCTCTTGGGTTCCAGCTTACAGAACGGCAAGTAGGACATTTCTATTCTTTATAAACCTCTCAGCCAGTGTTCTGTTAAAGCAGAGGCAACAGACTAAGACACATAAAACACATGTCTTTTACTTAGTGCCCCAGTGAAGGTCACTTCATATCACCTTGGAGTACTCAGAAGTACATAAAAATTTAAACAAGCAACTTACCTTTGTTTGATAACTTAAGAAATTTGTAATACTGTAATTGAAATTCTATGCAGTACAAAATGCAGACAGTCATCACATCAGTGAAAAATATTAAATCCCTGTTGTATTTTCCAAAGAAGTAAAACCAGAGAGAGAGAGAGAGAGAGAGAGAGAGAGAGAGAGTCTTAAATTTTGTATACAATGTGTGTGCTAGCAAGTCTAAAACTCACAGAGCAAACGGCAACCCGAAACTTCAGCAAAGGTTGATGCTGCAGTGTGCAGGGTGAATTCTGCAAGGAAGAAAGTTGTAAACGCTCATGGAATTGTTGTGCCAATCTCGAATCAGCATTCTTTCAGTCTTTGCCTTTGAGGTCTTCAGTTGATTTGATGAAAGCCATCCATCCACCTATCCACAGGATAGAAGGCAATGTGCTTTACTCAGAGTTTAATCATGTAAATAGTAATCACATCTAAAGCACAGGGTAGGCATGGTGTGATACACCTATAAACCCAGCATTAGGGAGGTAGAAGCAGGAGGACTGCCAAGTTCAAGGTCAGCCTGAGTTATATACAGAGACTCTTTCTCAAAACATAAAAACAACAAAATAAAATACCTTCATAGGGAAGACCTCTACTGGTGTTTGGCCGAATATCTACCACTATAGCATTGCCAAGATGACATATAAGATTGACAAATATATATATATATACACAAATCCTTTTTAAGAAGTACATGTGAGTACGGCTTTATAAAATTTACAAAATATAGCTAATCGATACAATGTATCAATACCCTGGAAGCAGACCCCTGACCACTACTGTTAGCATCTGCACCGAGGAGTTCCCACTTTCACTCATGGTGCAGCAACTACAGATGTGATGACCTGTGAACCAAGACTGCACATAATAAGTGTTCAATGACTGCACCTAGGTGTGCAGTGCTACCCAAGTACAGAGTTGTAAGCAATGCTCACTCTCTTCCTTAATTTTTTAGGCTAAGACACATTAGCAAAACTGGAAACATTTGTTGACACATGTCCACTTGGGATCCACTGGTCTGAAGCACTGTCACAGATAAGTAATCACAAACATTAAAGGAACCAAAGGATTGTATTAACTCTGATCATTTACAGGTCAGAACTCTGAACTGGCTCAGTCAACCTGGCGAACAATGTGCTTTGTTCTGGGCCTACTGGCACCAAACTTAGAAGCTTAGCCAATCCTGGAAGAGGAAAGAATGACCTAGAATGGCTTGGGACACTTTTTTGTTTCTTTTGGTTTGATTTTGGTTTGCATCTTAGATATAAAACCACTTTATTCATTAAATTGGTTGATATGAATATGTGTATGCATGTGTGTGCTTGTTTGTGCATACATAGACACATATGTACATGCACATGTGTTTGTGTGTGAAAGTGGAAGTCAGAAGGAAACCTTGGGCATCATTCCTCTGGTGTCATTGTCCTATTTAAATAATTGGTTTTATTTCTGAGATGATCACAGTTATATAATTGCTCCATCTCTTTTCTTCCCCCAAAAGCTTCTAACGTACCCCCACCTTGCTATCTTTCAAATTCATGGCCTCTTTCTCTTTAATCATTGTTAGTTTATATAGCACTGGCCTGGAACTCATGTAGCAGGCTAGGCTGTCTGACTGTTGGGCTCTAATGAGCTGCCTGTCTCCACCTCCCCATTGCTGGGATTATAAGCCTGTGCCACCATGTCCAGCCTTGTGCATTCTGAGGATCAAACTAGTTCTTGTGTGTGGTGATATTTTGTGTCCCCCAATATATTGTGCACCCTTGTAAAGCTTATCTGAGGATCAGAGGAAAAAAGCCAGGCACTGTATTAAACATAGAAGTCAGGCAATGGTAGCATACACCTTTTGTCCTAGCATTTGGGAGGCAGGTATCCATCCAGATCTCTGTGAGTTCAAGACCACACTGGGAACAGAACCAGGTGTGGTGGCACACACCTTAAATTCCAACACTAGTTAACCATAAAGGTCTGGAGGGCTGTACAGAAAGACAGGAAGTGACATAGCTGGGCAGGAAGAGAAAGTGATGTAGCTGGGCAGAGAGAGGAAGTGAGATGGCAGGGACAGAAAGGAGGCATATAGGTGTGAGTATACTCGAAGTAGGTCTCTTTGGAAGCAGAGGAGTCTCATCATATGCACATACCTGAACCTCTTTGCCATTGTTTGCAGAATAATATAGAACTCTACAAATAAAGGTCATCAGCCAGATTTTACCTTTACAAGCAACGGCCCCGGGCTATTATAAAGTGAACAATTTGTCTCCAAAACGCACTTTCCACCACACTCCAACAACACTTATTATAACAACTAGAACATGTCTGGTTAGTCTGTTAAATTATTTCAGGCACTTTCATGTCTCATTCTAGTTGGGTCTCAAGCAAACGAAAGACTGTCTGAGGTCAGATAGCTGATGATTTACTCTGTGAGTAAAAGCACCTGCCCTGTGCCGAGTCTGATGATAGGAGTTCAATCCCCGAGCCCCACATGGCGGAGGGAGATGACCAACACCCTGAGTTGTCCTTTGACCTCCACACACGTGCTGTGGAATGAACACAAGAGTGTGTGTGCAACCTTGTGTGCATGCATGCATGCATGCGCATGCACATATGTCTCACACACAAAGAGACAAAGAGAGCGAGGTACAGTCACACAAAACAAACAAACAAATAAATGGAAAAAAAGTTTTTTAGAGAGACTCCATTTTGAGCTGTCCCCATTACTCATCTGTCAGGACCACATGGGCGGAAGAGAGATGCCCTCCCCCACCACCACCACCATCAACGCCTGAGGCGAATTGAGAAGGAGAGCTGCCCCTGCCCACCAGCGGCTGCCTCACCTGGGCAGCCCAATAGAGCAACCCTACTGGCGGAGGTGTGTGGGTGAGCCAGCCCTGACATTGTAAGCATGAGAAAGCTGTCCCCATTACTCATCAGTCATGCAGTGGCATGGGGGAGGGGGGGGACGGAGAAGCCCTCCCCCACCCCCATCTCTGCCTATCAACCCCTGAGGCATGCAGGAGAGTTGGCCCTGTGGTCCTAAGAGCAGGAGAGCTGTCCTTGCCCCTTATCAGCTGCAGCACTCGGGAGAGTGGCCCCAACAACACCACACCTGGGCAGCACAATGGAGCTGGCCCTGAAGGTGTAGATGTGGGAGAAAGGACCCTGAGGATGGAAAGCAGGAGAACTGGCCCCGTCCCTTGCTCATCGCCGCTGTAAGGGGTGAACTAGCCAGGGTAATACCGGAGAATTCACCCTGGTGGTGAAGACAAGGGAGAGCAAGCAGACTGACCAACCCTACAACTACCTGGACCCAGAACCAGGGTTTATTAGTTGGCCCACCCCAACATCCACCCCATCTGTGATTTGCTGGGGCATGTGTAGGAACTGGTCCACAAACCCAAAGCTGCAGGATCTCCACAACACAAGGTAACAACAGGATATCCAAGAGGAGTTCCAGTGAGGGCCCAACATCAATAGTGTAGCAGAAACCAGAGGCCTGGAACCAGACCAATGACTCTTTGCAATGAACACATGCAAGTAAAGATACATGGACAAAAGGGTTTGCTGCATGACTCACTGTGTCACACTGCAGCTTCCATGACAAGACTGATTTTTCCTTTCTTTTTTTTTTCTTCTTTTTTTCCCCTTAAATCTTATTTTATTTTATTTTGGAGGGGGGAGGTTCCAAGGGCAGAGGGTGGATACAAAGGGATGGAGCTGGGGTAATGAGTGGGATGGAGATGAATGATGTGAAAGACACAAAGAATAAATACAAAGAAAGAGAAAGATTCCATTTTACATGTAGGAAAGCTATGTTGAAGAAAAGTGAATTCACTGACACTATACAGTAAAGCAGCTCACTGTGGCTTGTACAGTGTCCTTTCATCCTTGGGGTGTCTCTGCTGATTCCTACAAACATCTGTCACAGCAGCATTTCTCCTGCATATGAACTCTTCCTTCCACATCACCTCACTAGTCCTGTTCCTTCAAGCCCCTCTCTCAGAGATCCCATAAGAAACCCCTACTGTAATACACGTGGATGTCATTGACCTTGTAGATGGCTCCTTTCAGATTCTCCCAGAGAACCTATAAAAAAACTCTTTCTGTAATACACATGGATGTCCTTGACTGTGTAGACCAGATGCCTCCTTTTAGATAATATAGAAGAACTCCAAGAAAAGCTGTCTAGAGACACGTCTTAACTGCAAGTTAGCTCCAGTTGAGAACTACCAGGCCAATGACAATCTGCAGAACCTGCATATTTGGAGCACAGGAGCTTTGTTATATTATAAACACAGCGGTGCATGGCTGGCCCTGATACTCTCTCAGAGCATGCAAGAAAATGCCGCTACAGATAATGCCCCGTGCTATTGATACCCCAGCTCAGAGGAAATCATCTCTTACTAAGCAATAGCACTACAAGGCAATAGCTCACATGATGTTGAAAGTCAAACAGCTGAAGAGAAAAATCTTTGACCAGCTATAGCTAGGGAGGTTTTTTGTTTTTTGTTTTTTTAAATATTGCAAGAAAAAAAATTATAGAATTCAACTTTCTATCTCACAGGAAAATGACATCATTACCTATGACTCAGTTTAGCACAAATATGTTCTGGCAAAATAAGTTCCTCTCCCATAGCTCTTGTTTGAGCAAAATATGAAAAACAAGAGACAGTATGACAGGAGAAGAGAAGCGATAAACAGCAAGCTTCAATGAAAAGGCTGCTCTGGAGAAAAAAATGGCGGCAGACTAAAGGCTTGCCACAAAGTAGCAATAAATAAATCCATTAAAAAAGTAAACCTGGTCTATATACCTTAAAATATACAGAGAAGGTCTATAGAGCTGGACCCCCAAAGAAAAGAACTCTAAACCTGTAACAGGCTAGATGTAGCTCTTAGAGGAGTGTCTATTGGCTAAGAACTTTCACTAGATTCACAATAAGAAATGATCAGAAGCTTGTACCCAGCCCTCATCATCCCTGAGGATGTTTATATGTAATAAACCGAATATGTTTGCTATAGATGGAATAATGCATTTTATTAAATAAGTTATCTGAATGAAGATGTCATCTGAATGATGGTAAATAGATCTTGGACTAGACAGATAGATATACCTGGCTACTGTAGCTCAAAATCTAATACTCAAAAAGGCACAGGATATTCACAAAGAATGTCAAAATAGCCCAAATGCACATGAAAGATGTTCAGCTTCATTAGTCATCGTGGGGGAAGTTGATTCAAGCCACAATAATCTCAATGAAATACCATGTCATGTTGAGCACAGTGTGTAGGATGTAAAACACTGACCACAGCAAGAGTCAGCACGGATGCGGAGAAGCCAGAAATCTTGTTTTGTGATCTGAATCTTGTTTT